AATCAATTGACAAAGGATGCAATCTGATTCTTGAGTGTATATATAGACATTATACTTGCAAACCTATCATAATCATATATAAATCAAAGGACAATATCTCTATAACATCTTAAGTATTATATATCAAAACAAAAGGACAAACCCCACAATCTCATAAAACATTGTTGGAATAATTATAGCATTTCCTTTTCATTGTTGATGTTGATAATACAGGCCAGAATTGTAATCTAGTATTTATGGTCCAAGTAAAAATATGAAGATGTAATCGAAATTTATGCTTGATCCATCAAGCAAAGAAGGAAACTATAGCCCATAACTTTCTACCTCTACAGAAAATTATGTCTTATCCATAAATATATGTTATGTACTATTGTTGTTACTTACAACTCTAAGTTATCAAGTTCATTATAGTAAACGTCATATCTATGTGAAAAAGGTAATTTCTAAGGGTCCCAAAAATGTTTTTTTCCCCAATGATAACTAATTCCTCTTCATCAAAAGCTCATGTTGATTTAGTAAATGTTCTAGAAACTATTATTCATAGTTATAGAAAGTACTTGGTACCTAAAAAACAACCACAAAATCATAGCATATGTTGAATTTTGTAGCAAGAATAAGCTTTCATCTTACCTCCAAAAACACAAATCCACACAAAAAAACATGAAACCTAAATATGTAGCAAAGCTTTTGAAGACAATAATGCAAACTTAACTTCACAGTTTTTAATGATCAATCATCAAATAATGTGATTATTCAACAAAACATAGAGAGAATGCCTATTATTCAAATCGTTAATGGACAACGACCTACATTGAAACCATTACCAATAAGATTGTTCAATCATCCTTCACCTCCATCTTGTATCTTCTAAATTTGAATTACTAGTCTCCTAAAAAGGGATAATTTTTGTAGAAATTAAAAAAAACGTAATAAAACATAAATCACAAAGTTTAAAGACAAATTTTGGTAAGTAAACAGGCTATTGATAATAAAGCATGAAAATTTGCTCTTTTTTTTTTAATTAGATCAAACCATCTGACATACCTTTTTGAAAATTAATATGAGATTGAGAAGCAATAGACTCAAGAACTTGTGGCAAAGGAAAATAATTGGTTCAATGAAAAGTGCAAGAATGTACAATCATCACTACTACCGAGCAAACTCATTGATGTTACTCCTCAAGTATAGAACAGTTTGTAGGCATCTAATTAGAAGATAAGATCAAACAAATAACAAAAAGAAAAGCTTAATGATGATAAATCATAACAATTTTGTCTATTACGACCTATAAAGATATCGTAGGTATCTATCCCAGAACTGATAAGCATTGTTCTATTTGTTTTAGTAGAAAATCCACACACCAAAATCTCATTAAGTATTAAGCATTTTGTTCTCATGCGTTAATCTACCCCAGTGCATATTAAAAGAGAAAGTGAACAATGAAGTGAATAAACTCCAATCACTCATATCTGTGCTTTATTAGTTTATTAGTGTCTATAACAGGGAATTTATCCTCTAAAATGGTGCATCGAGTTGCCTTACCAAGAGATGCTCACTCCAAGAGCGGTTTTGGATTGAACCTAGACGCATATGAAGGGAAGAAGGAAAGAGTCGGAGAGCTACAGTAAAAATGAAGTTACAATGATAGGAAGAAAATTATGACTTATGATACAGTGCAACAGGTGAAAAATAGAATGCTGAATAGAAACTCTAAACAATCACGAACCTACATGTATGTAATGGCTAATGGCATGATAATCGGCCATGAATGTTGAGGTTGAGATGTTATGGTTTTAAAAAACTACCTCTTATTGGAAACGGTAAGCATGAGTGGTTTGTAAGTATTTCCACTTTTAAATCTAATCATCTTTAAAAGTTAGTTTATTTTTTAAAAAAGAAACACGTGTCATCCATAAACTTGCGACTATACTTTTATCTTGGGGGAGTGTATAATTAAAATATGCACAAATTGATATTAATAAATACATGTAATTCTCATTAAATGAATTGGTGTATTTTTTATTCACTCAGTTTGAATTCTAATATAATTCACGAAAATTATTTCATTCATGATTAAAATTTTAAATGTAAAAATTGGAATTTAAAATATAAATTATAGAAATTCAAACTTAGATCATGGATAATAGCGTTAGGAAGTTACAAATTTTTAAATTTTAAAATATAAATAATATATCTTTTCAATCATTATATAAATAAAAGTAAAGTTAAAGGCTACAATAAAATACCACTTATCCATTTTTTAGTTGCCATAATTCTATCCTTCGAGATGCTTTTCTTGTAATTATGTGCTCCGAAATCAGGTTTAGAATTAGATTCATAATGGTTTATTGTTTTTTATGTATATAAAATATATTATTCAGGTTGGGAGTTAGGTGTGAGATGAATTATTAATTGTTAGATGTATACAAAAATTATGTTTTATCAATTTAAAATTCAAATCTGATCATATTTAAATTTAAATTAATATCTATCTATTTAAAGTTTCCATCCATCCTAAATATATGCCGAAAATTATTATTTTATATTTTTCATACAATTCTAAAATTATATTTTATTAAAAGTCATTTTCCATGTATGTAGAAGATATTTTCTAAAATATCTATCTGTTTGAATTGAAATTAATACATACACATACACACACACACAAAAGAATATGATTTTAAAATTTTTTATCTATCCTAGTAATTTCATAAAATTAAGCTTTAAATATGCATATTATTTTTAAAATCCTCCTCAAAATCTATTTGACATTTATTTTTCTTTAGCTAGATCTATTTGTTTTGATTGCAAATATGTTAAAAAGGAATAGAATTTAAAAAATATTAAAGATGAGCATATTATATATTTAGTTAAATTATTCATGTTAAATAAATTTCTTTAATTTAAAAAATCTGCTTATAAAAATTAATATCTATTTTATAATAAATTATAAATGTATCGGTTAGAATTAAAGATTTTGGGTCCATTTATTTGAAATTCAAATCAACTTTTTAAAAATTTAATGTTAAACATGTTAATAAAAAATGAAGGTGGACAAAAAATAAAATGAATGAATTATAAGAATGGTCTATTAGCTCTAGATATGTTTTCCTTATGTTATTTTTTTTTTGGTATAACGTTCATTTTTAGTTCTTTGAATTTTTTTCTCTATTTTTTTGCTGTAGTGAAAAAAATATTTTAATATAAATGTTTTGATCAACAATTAAGGTGTGAAAAAAAAAAATTAAGATGACCAAATTTTAAAAACGGCCTATTAGCTCTTGATATATTTTTCTTCTACTATATTTTTGGTAATATAATATTTTTTTTGAAGTATATAATCTAAATAAAAAAAATATTTTTGATCATATTATTCTATCATTATATAATTAGATAATAGATAATAAGAAATATACTTATTTGTAAAGCAAATTATTATAAAATATATTCAAATTTAAATTATATTGAGATTACAAATTGATGGCTTGAATTTCAATTTCAATTTATATACGTTAATATTAATGATTGTCCTTGCTTCAACTGTTAATGAATTATTTTGTTTGGATTTTAATTTAATTTAAATTTTATTTGATTAATAGTTCAAATTCAAAATTCTCTCTAACACCAATCTTAATACTAATTATAAATAGAACCAACTGGATACATGTTCATTCATTGATTTTGATTTTTGTTGTTGTATTTTATTTATTTTTGAGATTATTGTATATTTAAATGCCTTATCATTATTTTTTTGTCTCTTCAATAATCTGTATGAGAATTAATTATTTTTTATTTTGTTAGTTTGGGTTATTTATTTTATTGATGTTTGTTTCATTTTGTTGTAGGAATAATTTATATATTCTTGCAAGGTATGATTAGCATATCATGGTTCGAGTAATTCATCTTTGAATTATGGTTGAGTGATTCTCATCAAACAATTCAACAATTTAATAAATATTAATATAATATTAACTATTTAAATATCTAAACTCTGCAATTAATTAGTGGGTGGTGATTTTGAACTTTTATTCCAACGGATAAGGAATAAAACAATAAAAAAAGGAATTATGTTATTATTCAAGGAAAAATTTTTAGGTTTAAATTCTAAGTATATCTGATAATTAAATTAAATTGACAATTTAAATTCAAAATTTCTTTTAATGTAGGTTATCACTTCATTTCATGATTTCTAGCTTTGATTAACAATATTGTTCACAAGTTTATTGTGCAGGTAAGTTTATCATAATTATCTTTTAATTTCATCATGTATTTTCATAGTTAGTGTTTATGTAGTCTTTCATTCATTCGCATCAAGTCTGCCTTAATGTTTTTTCTTCCATTGGTTTTTATTTTGCAAAGGAAAATGAGAAATTCATGATCAAATAATAGTTATAGTCGCGTAATATCTTGAACTTCTACTAAGAGTGGGGGATAGAGGAGGGAGAAAGTAAAAGAAGAAAATGATGGGCCTCACTTTAGCAAAGTGACAGCGTTAATTTGAATTCAACAACAGGGGTGTGATTGTCACATATTCAATGATTCAGAATTTTAAATATATTAAATATGAATTTAAAATTTAAAGTACATTTAAATTTATAATTTATAATTTAAATTGTATGTTATATCATTTTAAAATTACAAATTAAATATTACATGGATGATAGAGTTAAAAGGTTATTAGAATGATAGAATAATAATAAAAAAAAAAGATCATGAGTTAGGAATTTATTAAATCATGAGATTAAGAAGTTATCAAAATAAAAGAATAAAAGTAAACTATATTTATAAATTAAAAATAATTATAAATAAAATTTTAAATTAAAATATTTAAAAAAATGACATTTATTATTTGTACATGTGTGTGTTTATTATTCTTCAATTATATACACATATATGAATAGATTAATCTATCATATCATAAAAATAAAAAAAAAATAAAATCAATCAACATATAAGTCAATTTTATCCCAATCTAAGATAATCTTATCAAATCCTAACCCTAACACAATAAGAAGAATCAAACACTGCCGGTTACGGCAGCAAGAATAAATTCTGCGCGGCGTCGGCAGTGGGCAAAGTTAAAGTAACTAAGGGGCCAATTTCTGACCGGCAAATCAACGGCGGCGACCGATCTTCCGGTAGCTGTGCACGCAACTCATGGCAAAACTCTAATAGCTTTTTTTCAATCCCGAAGGCCAAAGAAAACGAGACTCTGACGCCTGGTTTCATCATCGTCCGCTTTCGAGTGCAGAGTCGCGTACGATGAGAGGAAATAATCATGGGAATTATAAGAACCCATGTTTGACTATGCATCAACCCTGGGCGTCTATGCTCGTTTACGGGATCAAGCGCGTTGAGGGCCGGTCATGGCCTGCTCCCATCAGAGGTATTTGGTAGCAAATTCCGTCCTCTTTTTACCCAGCTATGCGCCTACTCCCTGCTATGTACTTCTATGTTTGCCCGCTTCTTTATGTTTCTAATACGGACCCGGACTCCGGATTTTACTAATATTAAAACCTTCTGCCCTTACATGCCTGTCTCACTGACCAGTCTATTAAAACCTTCTGGATTTTACTAATATTAAAACCTTCTGCCCTTTATGTTTCTATCATTATCAGTGACGGCTAAATAAGCCCAAGCCTTTTTAGCTCGTGAAGCTTTTAGGCAGGATTGAAATTTGGAACCATAACCTTTATGTTGTATAGGTTCTGAAAATGCTGGAGATGCTTCCTCATAGAATAGTGCGTGGAGAGCCTTTTTTCTTTCCATCTTTTTTGGCTCTCTCTCTGATAAGAAAACATATGCAGCATGCTATCTCACCTATCGCACAAGCGTTTTTGATGGTTCATCAAAGTAGAACTGCTATTCTCACGGTATGGGTAGTATATTGGAACAAGTCTAGCTGAAGGGAGAGTCTAAGAACGTCAATTAAAGGCGCTCAGGCAAGGCGCCGTGCACTTCTTGAGCCTCTGACCTCGGGGGAGGAATTACCTTCACTAAGGAGCCAAAAGGCGCACAAGGTGAGTGCCTCTTTGCGCCTTACTGCCTGTTTGGTTTGCCCAAATAATCGGCTATTGGGGAACAAACCTTGGTTTGAAGAAAATTTACCCAAACAGCCAAATATTAATGTTGGGAGGCATCCCAGGTCTATAAATTAGAAAACTCACCCATAATACTCCGGCCAAGCTTTTATGACATGGTTAAATGGTAAATCTCACTTTAAGACATTATTTAAGCTATCACTTGCCCTTCATGTTTTGTCTGAAGCCCCGTGTTCTGTCCTACACTAGGCAGCTGAAAAAAGTAAACAATATGACAACACGAGGATCATTTCAAATTGCACTTATATATATTTTGTTTATATTATCATATTGTTTCTTACTTTAGCACCTTGATATACTCTAACGAGCGCCTTTCTACCACCTCTTACACAAGGTGTTTGACAAGTCTAGCATTTCGAGAGTGCCTTTCATCTTTGGCTATCAATGTGAGGGTATCTCTAATAATGCTATTATTTTCTACATCTATCAGTTGTAAGATGATTTTAGTAACCAGTTAGTTTTTGGTGCTTTCTTTCTCATTTGTGGTGGCAAAATCATTCCACTTGGTTAAGTTGAGAAATAAATAAAGAGTTTAGCTACACGGCAGGGTGGAAGAAATGGTGGTGTCTTCTCCAAAATGCTGATAATCGTGTACTAGTTTCTATCTTGGAAACCAAAGTTTCATTTTAAAACAATAATAAAAGCACACTGGTCCATAAAGCCTACATAAATTCTTGGGAGAAATATTTTTTTAGCACAACAACTTAAAAATGTAACTAACCATACCCCTATTTGGAAAGAACTAAAAAGTTAACTCACAATCTTATATTCTCATTTAAGGTGGGTATTTAGTGTTATTTTGAAAAGATATAGGATATTTTGTACATTTTAAAGTTGATGAACTAAAGTTTTTATGAAGCTTGAGTCCAAAATTCTACACAGTATGCACTATTGGCATATGTTAAGTTAGCAAGTAAACAGACATAAGGCATAAGTTTTGAAAGTCAATAGCCATCAAATTTCTTTATTAGAAGTAAGACGGAATATTTATATTGTAAATTTGGTAAAGGACTATTCGACAATAATTTGGAAGTAAAATTGGAAGATCAAATTATGCCTTAAGTAAAAAAGTTTAGATATTTGGGAGCCATTATTTAAAATAATGGCGAAATCAGTGGAGATATTTCACATAGAATTCAAGTTGGGTGGTTTAATTGGAGAAAAGCTAAAGGAGTTATTTGCGACCGTAAGGTGCTTAATAAACTTAAAGGAAAGTTTTATCGCGCTGCTATTAGACCGGCAATATTATATAGTAGTGAATGTTGGGCTCTAACGGGACAGCAAGAGCATAAAGTTGGAGTAGCAGAGATGAGAATGTTACGATGGATGTGCGGACATACACGTAAAGATAAAATTCGAAATAAGCACGTATGCGAAAAAGTGAGGATGGCACTTATTGAGGAAAAAATGGTAGAAAATCGGTTGAGATGATTTGGGCATGTACAAAGAAGACCAAGGGAGGCACCAGTGAGAAGAGTGGAACATATAACTTTGAGTCCGATTAAGAGAGGTAGAGGAAGGCCTAAGAGAACACTTTTGGAAGTTGTTGAACGCGATCTCTTAATTAATAATATTCCTAAAAGTTTGATAAATGATAGAGCACAATGGCGTCTTGCAATCCATGTAGCCGACCCCACCTAATGGGATAAAGGCTTGTTGTTGTTGTTGTTGTTGTTTTTTCTTCATACTGCAAAAAACTTATTAGATGCTTGTGACTGATATGAAAGAATAAAGACATATTATTTAGGTAGTTAGTATCTGATAAAGGGTAGTTAAGTCATTTGTTTATTTTGATTTGACTATTCTAACTATTCTAAGGTTATTTTACCTGAATCCTATAAATAGTAGGGCCCCTCTCAATTATAATAAGCCTGATGATGATAATGAAGTGTATTATTCATATCAACTCCTGATTCTCTCTCGATTCCCTCTATTTCTTACTCTTTCTTTTTGAATTCTCCTTCTTTCCTCTTCAATTCTATCCCATCTCTCTTCACTAATCTACCTCTTCTTCCATTTTCATATTAGTGGTACTTGAGCTTTCGTTCCTTGGCCATTCTCTTCTCTCTCTCTCTTTTTTCATTCTAATGGTGTATAGTAAAGACGCGTAATCAAACTCAACAAGAATTGGAGGAAAAATTGCACTAGCTTGAGCAAAGACATACCAAACTAGATACCATTGACATGCTCAGTGATCAAGTGACAAGTCTTTCCAACCAGATTCAACTCTTGATATGCGATTGAGAGGAAGAATCTGATAACTTGGGCCATTGTAATAGGAACGACAGAAATGGTCACTATTGTCATTGAGAAGAAGATGCGAGACACAGGGAAGAGCATTAACGACCTACCTAGTTCACAAAAATGGAATTCCCCAAGTTCTCTCGGTCTGATGTGTTGGGTTGGATCATGAGATGCGAGAGATATTTTGAACTTGATGATACGCTAGAAAATGAAAAGGTGAAGATGGCGTTGATGTGCGTGGATGAAAAGGCTTGGTCTTGGTATAGCGTTAGAGAAGACTTGGTTTGGTGTCACGCCAACCTGGAAAGAGTATGTTGTTGTCCTTAAAGAAAGATTGGGACCCACCTATGAGATGCCAATGGGCGATTGATGTGTTTAAGGTAAAAGGGTCCTTTGGCCGAATTCAACGATGCTTTTGACTCTCCTGCTTGCGAGCTTGATCTTTCACAAGAGTACCTCATCAAAGCATACATGGAAGGATTGATGGAAGATTATCTGAGTCCTGTGAGGTTGTTTAAATTGAGAACTCTCTAAGAGGCGTTCTCGCTGGCTCATACGTAGGAGATCACTCTGCAACGATGAGTTGAGAAGAAGACGAGTGGCAAGAACAGTGCACAATTGTCTTCACCTTCGATTGCCTCATCGCAAACCTTGCACAATACTTGGGCACCTTACAAAAATGCCCTCTTAAATGGTGGGACCCGACAAAAAGGGAAGATGACATTTGTGCCCTAAAAATCATCTTTTTCTTCCTTTAAAAGCAGTAGTAATCCCCTTAAAATTCTATCTACGAATGATGAGGTAGAACACAGAAGCAAAAACCCATGTTTTAACTGCCATGAAAAGTTGTCGCGTGATCACAAGTGTCTACAAAGGCAAAAGATGCAATTGCACTTCATTGATTTGCTAGAAAACCAAGAAGACCACCCGGTCACAGAATTTGAAAATGATGAGGTGATAGAGGAAGAAACACCCTTAATTTCACTCTATGCCATCGAAGGAGTTGAAGGGGCTTTATCAATGTGAGTTGTAAAGCACTGTGGCAAGAGGTAGATCTAGATTTTGATAGATAATGGAAGCATCCGTAATTTCTTGGATTTGGAATTGGCTAAGAAACTTGGTTGGCAGTCTGATTGCTCAGTAGTGTCGTGGGTAGAAGTGGCTAAAGGAAAAAAATATTACAAGTCCATGGCATGTTGAAAAAATTTAAAGGCTTGTTTGGTTCAAGGAAAGGGAAGGAGGGGGAGGGGGGCTCCCTCCCAATTTGAGGGGGAGGTTTTGGAAGGGAGGGGAGGGTCCCCTCTCCCCCAATCAAACACACCCTAAGTGAAGAATGCAAGGGTTGGAGCTCGTTTTTGATTTAAGAATTCTTGATCTCAAAACTTATGACATGGTTTTAGGTCTAAACTGGTTAAAAAGCATCAAAAATGCCTTTTGGAATTATGAGACTCTCACAATGTATTTTTGCCAAGGAGACCAACTATGCAAGCTACAAGCCACACACCTAACTCATGGATGATGGTGCAGCCCAAGAGAATTGAAATAAAAGAGGGAAAGGATAAACAAAGGTTTCTATTACAGTTGTTGAAATCTACAAAAGAAGAAGCCAATTGTTTTGTTGTTTCAGGGGTATTAGAAGAGCTGCCCACAGAAATTCAGCAAGTTCTAAGGGCTTTTCCTGATGTTTTTGAAGAACTGAAATGGTTGCCACCCATGCGAGAAGGCCATAACCATGTTGTAGTCCTTCAAAAGGGGACTGACCCTATTAGTTTAAAGCCCTAGTGCTATCCTTCTACTCAAAAGGATGTGATTGAGAAGTTAGTGGGAGAACTTTTGAAATCTGGAGTTATTCAAGAGAGTTCCTCTCCTTTTTCAGCTCCAATTCTACTAGTAAAGAAGAAGGATGATTCATGGAGAATCTGTATTGATTACAAATAGCTAAACAAAAGGACAATAAAAAATCAGTATCTTATCCCTCTTGTGGAGGACTTATTTGATGAACTAAGTGCTGTAAGGTGGTTTACAAAGTTAGATTTAAGAGTGGGATATCATCAAATTCACACGGTGCTTGAAGATGCCTATGAAACAGCATTCAAAACACGTTTCGGGCACTATGAGTGGCTGGTTATGCCATTTGGTTTGACTAATGTCTCAACCACTTTTTAGGGATCAATTAATTCTATCTTTAGATCTTTTTTAAGAAAGGTTGTTGTTTTCTTCGATGATATCCTAGTATATTCCTCCTCTCTGATAGATTACATGGAGCATTTAACAAAGGTGCTGGAAAATCTTAAGGAAAAATCAATATTATGTTAAAAAGGGGAAGTGTACTTTTGTAGCAACTAGTGTTGAGTACTTAGGTTATATTTTGGGAAATGGGACTGTTTCTACTAACCCTAAGAAGGTGGTGGCAGTCCTTGAATGGCCAGAACCAGCCAACATCAAGCAATTAAGAGCCTTCCTTGGCCTAGCAAGATATTATGGGCGATTTATCTAGCATTATGGAGAGATTACTAGACCTCTCACTAATTTATTTAAGAAGCAGGGATTTATTTGGTCCGATACATTAAGAAAAGCTTTCACAAGATTAAAGAAAGTATTGGTTTCAGCCCGTGCTTGCTTTACCATATTTTAATAAAGTTTTTTATGTTGAAACAGTTGCATTTGGCTTTGGGCCAACCTATTGCTTTCTTTAGCAAGGCAATGGCTCTACGACCTTTGAAGCTGTCCATTTATGAAAAGGACCTGATGGCAGTCGTTCAGGCAGTTGAATATTGGCATCGGTATTTGGAGAGGAAGAAATTTATCATCAGAACTGATCAACAAAGTCTGAAGTATTTATTGTGGCAGAAGTTAAGGACTGCTTTTCAGATGTATAAAATAGTTTGTTTAATGGGCTATGAGTATGAGATTTGTTACAAAAAGGGAAATGAAAATGCTGTGGCAGATGCACTGTCAAGATTACATGGGCTTCAGTTGTTACAAATGGCACTTGATACCACTTCTCCCAAGTTGCTTCATAAAATTGGGGAGAGTTGGGATGCTAATGTAGATTTGAAGGCCATAATTGCTGAACTACAGAGAAAAGGAGGAAATATTGCCAAATATGTGTGGCATGGACAGCTTTTAAGAAGAAAAGGAAAGCTGGTTATTGGTGATGTTGCAGCTGTTAGGTAAGAAATCCTTGAATGGTTACATGCTAGTCCATAAGGAGGCCACTTCGAGGTGCATGCCACTTATCAAAGGGTTACAAGGTTGTTTTGGTGGAAGGGGATGCTTAAAGATATACAAGACTTTGTGAGAGGGTGCGATACTTGTGCTCATTGCAAGTACGAGACAGCAGCTACCCTTGGTTTGTTGCAACCATTACCCATTCTTAATAGAGTTTGGGACAGCATAGCAATGAATTTCAAAGAAGGATTGCCTAGATCTAGGGGTAAAGAGGTAACATGTGTAATTGTGGATAGAATGAGCAAATATGCTCACTTTTTGGCTCTTTCCCATCCCTTTTCAATAGCAACCTTGAGTTAGCTTTTTTTGGACCATGTTTACAAATTGTGTGGGGCTCTTAATGAGATTGTCAGTGATAGAGATCCAATTTTTATCGATCATTTCTAGGAGGAATTTTAAAGGTGATTAAGGTTGAGCAGAAGCTTACTTCTTCCTCCCATCATCAAAGTGATGTGCAATCCGAGGTGTTGAATCGTTGTTTGGAAACATACCTTAGACGTATGTGTTGGGAAACTCCTAAGGATTGGAGTAAGTGGTTACCCTTGGCGTAATGGTGGTATAATACAGCTTTTCACATTTCAACCGAGGTAACACCTTATAGTTACTTTATGGGCAGAAACCGCTACTGTATGCTCCATATCTACCTGAAGAAGCTGTGGTTGAAGCTGTAGATAGGAGTTTTGCAGCAAGAGAGCACATGATAAATGTTTTAAAGCATCATCTTAGCAGGGCAGCCAACTGTATGAAGCAAAAAGCTGATTTAAAAAGGTGTAATCATGAATTTGAGGTTGGTCAATGGGTTTTTCGAAAGCTGCAGCCTTACAGGCAGATCTTAGCTGCATCAAGAAGTACTCAAAAATTGGCACTAAGGTATTTGGGCCATATAAAGTGATAGCAATGATAGGAAAGGTTGCTTACAAGTTAGAACTTCCCCCTATATCCAGAATTCACTGAACTTTCCATGGTTCACTGTTAAAATTGTGCCCAGGTCTCTCAGTCAAGCAGAGGCACCCCCTGAAAATTGGCTAGAGGTTCCAGCTACCCATATTCCAGAAGCAATCCTGAATAAGAGAGTGGGAAGGCATAAGGGAAGTGTTATTACTGAAATTTTAGTACAATGGAAGGGCAAACCTGATAAGGAAGCAAGCTGGATGTCTTTGTTCAGCTTCCAGAAGCAATTTTCAGATTTTCAAGTACCAAACCCTTGTGGACAAGGGCTGTTGGGGGGGGGGTATTGATATGAGAATAATAAAGACGTGTGTTCTTTAGGTAGTTAGTATCTGATAAAGGGTAGTTAAGCCATTTGTTTATTTTCGTCTGACTATTCTGCCTATTCTAAGGTTGTTCTACTTGAATCCTATAAATACTAGGGTCCCTCTCAATTGTAACTAGCTTGATGATGTTAACGAAGTGTATTATTCAAATTAACTCCTGATTCACTCTCAATTCCCTCTGTTTGTCTCTTTCTTCCTGAATTCTCCTTCTTTCCTCTTCAATTCTATCCTATCTCTTCTCTATTCTACCTCTTCGTCCACTTTCATGTCGGTGACAGTATTGTTTTCTTCCATTTTCTTGTTCTATTGACTGGGACAAAATTCTTGAAATTGGTGAACTGTTTTCCTTTCCATCTACTATTTATTTTGAATTATTTCTGTTGTTAGTTCTATATAAAATGGTTTCTTATTGTATAAAGTCTTGTCTATTAAGGTCGTCTCTGGATTCATGCTGCCAGTAAAGTTCCCGATGAGTCTACTATCAAGGCAATGGAGTGCTTCTACCGGGAGATTTATGCAGTCAATGGAATAACTGATATTAAGTTTCCAGAGCATTATCCAACTTCAAGGCTATTGGGTATACAGAATTTCGTTCTTTTTAATTAAGAGTTTTCCAAAGTATTGTGCGATAACGTTCTCTATATTAACCATTGGTTAACGCTGCTCTTGTTTAAACCAGTTTTGGTCCGGCATTCTACCGCTTCTCTTTATCTTGATGTGTTAACTTCTTGAACTTGATCTTTTTTGTTGTTGAATTTGTCCTTAACTTTAGATTCTTTCTTTATGCTGTTTTTTTTTTTAATCATTTTTTTATCATCAACACAACCTGTGTCAAGATGCACATAATTAAACTAATTTCAGACCAGTTCTCTTCCTTTCTCTTGATATTCAAGCAAGCAAAATTTGTCCTTTTCATTATTGACTTACACTGTAAAGCTTTCTCTTTCTAGTGATGTTTTACAGTACTTTCTTTTTTGGCCAGTGGTTGGCACTGCACATTGGCCCCGCATCTATTTTTTATTTTCCATTCCTTTTACCTGGTTGTCGAACTTCGCATTCTATTCTGTCATTTGATAGGTGTTGTGTTAGGATGGCTTTATGTGAAATGGTTATTCATCCATCATTTTAACTTGGCACAAACTCTATTGCGTCACTGCTGTTTGCCAATGTTTCCCCTCCTTTTGGAATACATCACATGAATTTTTTCATCCCACAGGTTTCGTTGAGGTTGTTGGCTGCTTAAGACAGGAAGAACTAGCCTGCTGGGAGATGGTCCCTGAAAGTGTAGGAAGCTGATTTATCTTCCCTCTTTTAATTTAAAACTTGAATTGATATCATTTCATGGCTATCCGGACTTGAGTCTTCACTAAATTATGTTCCTTGTGCTCTCAGGTTAGGCTGGAAGCGCAAACTAAGTATTGCTGGTTATGTGAACATCCACAGGTCTGTGTCTTGCAACTGCTATTCAGGTTTTTAACTGTAAGGTGTAACAACTTTATGTATGTGTATGCTGAGGTGCTTTTTCCATCCTTTATCCAGAAATTGTTGATTCCGTTTGAGATGAGAGGATATCAAGGTGTTTATAACTTGGAAAAGAAGGTAATATGGCTTTGCATTTCCATCTTCCTCCTGGTATTTCTTTTTGCAAATGCTGATTACCCTACCTCTCTAAGATATGTGAAGCTGCAGTTAGAGGTCTGTCTCCTGTTGCAAGTCCGCTTCCAGTGAAGTTTCCACTTCCAGATCCACATGATTCTTTTTCATTGCAGCCAGGCTGCATCTGTGTGTCTTCTCCTAATTTGAAAGCATCATCTGAAGCGGACAGATCATCAACCCTGACTCTGGCCATAGCCGGTGCACAAGAGGCAGCTTTGCAGTTCTCAAAGAAGGATCAGAATTCTCAAAGTATTGTTACAAATACTAATTATCAAGAGACAGAAACTGTAAAATCCTATAATTTACGATCGCTGAGAAGATCTGGGGAAAAAGATAAATCCACGATCTTCAGTGAGACATTTGATGATGGGACTTTGCCATTACACCATGAGGATAGAAGAAGCTATAACCAGTATGAGGGAAGCAGTAGGTACAATCAATATTGTGGTGCTGATGTGAGACGACCCCTTCAACAACCAGCTAAGGTTTGTACTCTCTTAGCCGTAGTAATTGTTGCTGTTGCATAGGCGTTCTCCTTGTGTGTAAAACTAAATAATTTTTATGGTAACTTTGGGCAGGGATCTATTGCATCAAAGGAGGAGGAGAGAAGCAGGGGTGAAAAGTATGAAGGAACCAGTCAACCTCCTGGTGCAGCTTTGAGTCCGAATGCCCTGCCTCCGTCTAAGGTTTGCTGTCTCCTTTCTGTCTAACTGGTGTTAGTTATATGTTTGGTCATTCCCTGCGGAAATCTTAACTTTGTTGCATAGTTATACAACTAAAGCAAACAAAATGGTGATTTGGTGTAGAACGAGCTTGGATTGCATTACTCCCTTTATCCCCGATAAAAAGGTGGTTCATAAAATTATCCAATGTTGACGCATGGCTGTCATATATATTTTTAAAATTTTTTCTTATGGCTGTTCTGTTCTTGGGATCTCATTTCAACACTGAAATTGATTCTGACCCTTGTCTGTAATTAATTTTTTTTTAATTTAATTAGGTGATAATTGATAACATATAGAATCAGTCTGGTGATGTGTTTAGCGTAGCAGTGGCGTTGGTGCAGCTTTTTGCATGAAATTATATCTGATGTGGATCATGCAGTGATCCAAGCCGAGTCGGGCTGTAAAAATAAAAAGAAGAAGAAGCTGGGCACTTGCACACGTGCATCCACTATCCTTAGCATGCTCTGTCTCCTTGAGCCCCGAGGAATATGCGACATTGTTGCTTTCCCTAATTTCATTCTCTGCCTACTCCTTTTTAATGATGCACTTCTAAAATGTAAAGAATAACAGATTTAGTGGTCCTAGCGCTGACTGCTTCGTTGTTAGATTTTTGCTGCAGCGGTCAGAGGCCTGAAGCATGATCTTTAAATATGATGCGGCGAACGCAGAGATGGAAGTGGAGCTCGGATCCTGAAATCAAGCTTGGAATTGGATTATTTCAGGGAAATATCTTGTTGGACAGAGCTCAGCTTCTTGTTTTGTTGTATCGTTAGAGTAATCGAAGCTTGCCTACTTGTTTAAATAATGTGCACGGTGGATTTAAAGTAGTGATGCATGCTCTGCTTAACATTAGATAAGAATCTGAAATGGAATTTGTGTGCAAAGCATGGAGCTGTGCTTGTTGTTGGTCTTCAATTGCTTGCTGCTCCGAAAGAGCCTCTCGAATCTCACCACCTCTGCCGCCTATTCCCAACCTGTCCCCCCTCACGGCTGTGGATATCTTCAACTGAAAACAAATATATATTATTATTTGCATAGCTAAAGAGTGGGGGCGTCTATGATTTGTAGAAGTAAGCTAAAGTGTAAATATCTTATATCAAGAAATCAGACTTCTTTTTGGTTTGGCAGATGGCTACCTGACAAGCAACTTTTTATTTTTTATTTTTTTTTGGTAGAAAAGCAACTTTTTATTGATTTTGTGGAAGATGATAGAGAATTTATTGATATTAATTGTTGAGAATGGGCTTGCCACCTTTAGGCCCATAATCAACAGTTAACCTAATTTTCTTTTATTTCTCGCTCTATTATTACTCTAGTATTTATTAGTTATTATTATTCATATTTGTGGGAGAAAGTTAAGGGATTTGATCTCAATTTTATTCACCTACTGTGAATAAAATCATACCATCATGGTTCCAAAATGTCGTACAAGGCAACAATAACTGGTTAGTCATGCATCTTCAACATTGATGGGGATCCCGACAAATCTTCGATGAGCAGTGAGTGCTTGCAAGGACTAGACGCAATGAAATTAGGAGGGAGTAGCAATGCGAACTCATACATGATGGCGATTGGTTCGACACTTGAGTCTCTCTGACAAGTCACAATAACACATTGATTTAAGGGCAACTATTATCTCTAGTGGTCCAGAAATATCTTGATGTTTGTTCGTGGTAGAAACAACGAGAAAAATCTCACTTGAAACCGAAAACCACCTGAACCCAATGATCCTCTATTTGAAGGATGGTACGTAGAAAATAATCTGCTCATGATGTGGCTGGTCAACTCCATGACAGTGGAAATCAGCGAGAATTATTTACTCGCAACAACAGCCGAAGAGATATGGGATCCTGCCAAGACAACATACTCGGTCAAGGAGAACATTACTGCAATTTTTCAGACCAAATGATTGCCTCGCAACCTTCTACAAGGTGAGCAATCTGTGACTCAATATTATCGTGAATTAATGAGGCTGTGGCAATAGATATATCTCTATGAGATTCATGAATGGTCTTGCCATAAAGATGGAGTGTATTATAAGACAATTGTTGATTGAGAAAGCGGTTAATAATGAAGATGCTCGTGGTCGCATCATGAGCATGAAGCCACTCCCCTCATTAGAAGAATCATTTAATATGATCAAATGGGAAGAGAGCAGGAAGGTACTGACTAACTCTTCTCTCTCATCTGCTTCTTCTAATACCTCCCGTGAATCATCTGCACTTGCTGCCCGAGGAAACCAAGGTAACGCAAAGGGTAAGAAATCAAATAAATGGTGCGATCGCTGCTAAAAAAGTGGACACACCAAAGATCATTGCTGGAAACTTCACGAGAAGCCAAGAAATTTCAAACAGAAACCCAAAACAAAAAGCAAAGGATTGATGGTTGGTACTACTGAGTCTGAAGGAGATTCTCTAAGCTCCGAAGAATTACGAGGAAAATTCTGAACATGCTTATGCAAATTTATGTGAGAAACCTTCTCCCTCTGTTATTTTAGCACACTCAGGTATTGCCTTCATTCAAGCTCTTAGTAGTGCCACTACATCTAAGAATATTTAGATAGTTGATTCAGGTGCGACTGACCATATAATTGGGTTTAAAGAGCTATTTTTTGAATTTAATGCTTTTTCTGAGGATTCTATTAAAGTGGCTGATGGGCCGCATGCTAAACTTTTAGGCTTAGACACAGTTGTTATTTCTACAAACATAGAGTTAAAGGATGTCTTATATGTTCCTGAAATCAAATGTAACCTATTATTTGTCTGACGGGTGGCAACACAAATAAATTGTCTTGTCATTTTTGACAAAAATGGTTGTGATTTTTACGACTTGACCTTAGGGAGGATGATTGGCAATGCTAAGGAATGGAATGGATTTTACTATATTCAAGGAGATTCACCTATAGCACATAATTCTCGTGCTACCCCTTCTATTACTTTCACAAATGATCTTTATGTTATGGCAATCTAAGTTAAGGCCACCCTAGTCTTGGACTTAGTTATATGCAACTTTTGTTTCCCAGAATTAATAATAAATTGTTTTCTGAATTTCATTGTGAAACTTGCCATCTAGCAAAACAAATTGAAATTCTTATCCAAATCACACCTATGTTCCTATTCATCCTTTTAACATTGTTCATAGTGATGTATGGGGTCCATCTAAGCTTGAAACGAATTCTAAGGCTCATTGGTTTGTTACTTTTGTTGATGATCACACTCAATTAACTTGGGTCTTTCTAATGAAAGAAAAATCAGAGGTGTTTTCCATCTTCAAATAGTTTTATGACTGTTAAAAATCATTCCAGATCACAATCAAGATATTTTGTAGTGATAATGGAAAGGAGTACTTAAATTCTGATTTTAAAAATTTCCTGACCCTTCATGGCATACACCATCAAACCTCTTGTGTTTATTCTCTTCAACAAAATGGAATTTCAGAGAGAAAAAAAATAGACATCTCCTTGAAGTGTCTAGAGCCATTATATTTGGAGTTAACGTTCCTCACAAGTTTTAAGGGTATGCTGTTCTCACCTTAGCCTACTTGATTAATCGTATGCCATTCAAAACTTTGAACTTTTGTACACCCCTCCAACCTTCCTTAACATATATCCCCACTCTTCCTTACTAACTCACTTCCTAAAAGAGTTTTTGGTTGTATTGCCTTTGTGTACAATGACCATGGGGGAAAGCTAGATCCACGAGCAATTAAATGTGTATTTTTAGGATACTCTTCAGGTTAAAAAGGGTGTAAGTGTTATTCTTCTCCTACCAAAGAGGTGTCTGTCACTATGAATGTCAAATTTATTGAACAACAGTCTTTTTATCCTAAATCACCCGTTCAGGGGGAGAGTGAGTGGAGTGAATGGCTCATTTGTGACACCAAGCATGATAAATCTAATAAAAAAACAACATACTGAGCCTAATGGACCTCAGACATCACTTGATGAACCCATTATCTCTATCTCTCCTGCCACACATACTGAGAATTGTCTGGACAGATCTAGAAATTGCTCAAATTCTCACCTTTTATCAGAAAACAATCCTGGAACCTGTGAATCAGAGTCTAAGAACTCTGGAAACCTTTCGACCAAATCTGATTTTCAAGATAAAAACCCTTTTGAGCTTGTAAACTCTCTCAACAAACCAGATTTGACTGAGACTATGGTGGACGAATCTCTTAATGTTACTGAACAGTAGCATGAAGGAGAAAGTTCCATTACCATACCAAGGCAAAGCCATGATTTTATACCTGAGACAAGTCTTGAAGCTCTATATTGGCCTATAGTCTTGAGAAAGGGAAAGAGAAGCTGTACCCTAACCTATTGGTACGTATATCTAATACAAAAAGCTCTTTCCTCATCTGAAGACATTTGTTACTAATGTTGAAAGTGTAAAAATCCCTAAAAGTTTTAATAAGGCTTTTGTTGATCCAAAATAGAAACAAGCTATAGAAGAAGAGTTGAGAGCTCTACATAAGAATAGAACTCGAAAGATTGTGAATCTACCTAAGGGTAAATCTATTGTGAGTAGTAAGTAGGTATTTACAATGAAGTATAATCCTGATGAGAGTATAAATAAATACAAAGCTTGACTAGTTGTCAAGGGGTTTACTCAAACTTATGGTATTGATTACCAAGAGACTCTTGCTCCTGTGGCTAAGCTCAATATCATAAAGATTTTAATATCCCTTACTGCAAACTAAAATTGGCCTTTACATCAACTAGATGTGAAAAATGCCTTCCTTAATGGTGATCTTTAGGAAGAGGTATACATGGAAGTCCCTTTAGGTATGAGAACCTTAGAAAATGTTGGTAAAGTCTGCAAACTTTATAAATCTCTGTATGGTTTAAAACAATCCCTAAGAGCTTGGTTTGAAAAGTTTTCCCGTGCTATTAAGGGTTTAGGCTATACACAATGCCAGGTAGACCACAACTTATTTGTTAAACACTGTGGAGACAAAATAACAGCCCTTATTGTTTATGTTGATGATATAATGTTAACAGGTAATGATGCTGAAGAGATAACTAAACTTAAAAGGAGCATGGAAGTTGAATTTGAAATCAAGGATCTTGGTTCCTTGAGATACTTTCTTGTCATGGAAGTGGCAAGAACCCAAAAGAGAATCAATGTGTCACAATGAAAGTACACTTTAGACTTGCTAAAGGAAACAGAGATGTTGGAGCAGGGCTTGCTAATACCCCAATGGAGCTTAATCAGAAGTTAACCATTAGACCTAATGGTATTGTAGTGAATAAAGAGAGAGATCAAAGGTTAGTGGGAAAATTGATTTACTTGTCACATACAAGACCTGATATATGTTTTCCAGTAAGTGTTGTAAGCCAGTTCTCTAGCAATCCTTAAAAAGAGCATATGACAGCAGTATACAGAATTTTAAGATACTTGAAGAAAACTCCTGGACAAGGATTGTTCTTTGGAAAAGGGGAATTTAGAAGCATTGAGTTGTTTATTGATGCTGATTAGGGAGGCTCTAAATTTGACAGGAAATCTACCATTGATTATTGTTCCTATATGTGGGGAAACTTGGTAACATGGAGAAGTAAGAACAAACAATAGTCTTAAGAAGCTCAGCGAAGTCTGAATATAGAGCCTTGGCATTGGGGATGTGGATTGTGAGACTCTTAAGAGAGCTTGAGGTTGGGATTGCTGATGCAATCAAGGTTTGGTGCGATAACGTTTCATCAATAAAGATTGCTAATAACCCTATCCATCATGACCACACAAAACATGAAGAGATTAACCGACGATTCATTAAAGAGAAAATTGAGGCAAACGTGATTTATTTATCTTATATCCCTTCAAAGAAGCAGATTGCAAATGTTATGACCAAGTCATTAGCTAGAGAAAAAATTGAGGGGTTCAGGAGCAAGATAGGAATGATTAATATCTATTCTCCAGCTTGAGGGAGAGTGTTAAGAATGGTCTTGCCACCTTTAGGCCCATAATCAACATTTAACCTAATGTCCTTTTATTTCTTGCTATGTTATTATTCTAGTATTTATTAGTTATTATTAATCATGTTTGTGGGAGAAATTTAAGGGATTTGATCTCATTATGCTCTCCCTCCTTGTGCTATTTATCGATACACCTACTGTGAATAACATCAGAGCTTTGCAGCCAAATACTATAATTAATGAATCTGTGAGAGACTATATCTTGCCTTTTGGGAGATAGGATGCATTCAAAATGTTACCATGGCTACCTAGCCATGTTGTAGATCTCATTACTAAGACTAGAGTATCGAGTGAGGAGAGTGGTGATGATAAACACACATG